CCATCAGGTGGCCTGTGTGCGCACTTGTCACCCTTATTCCATACAAATTTCGTCTTTTTCGACAAGTCCTGTGTTAACAGTCATACAAAATTATGAATATGATGCTATGGTGTAAATGTTGATTATTCATATTCCTACTTGTTTCTCTTGATAATTGAATGTGGATGCGTTTGCGATAAAAATTCGGATTGGCTTGCTTGCACTTGATAAATCTGCTAAGTACTACATAAGAATTGTACTGGTAGGAATTTACTTGCAGTTTTTTTTTTGTAATTTGGATGCGTGATAGTTTTTTTTTAACTTGCATTACACGTTAACCCAAAAATAAAAAAGCCAATTTTGTTCTTATTTCAAAACTGATTTTCGTTTCATGGTTTTCGTTCTTACCGCTTTCTTTATTTTGAAGGCTGTTGACTCCAATCGACCTTCTACTCGCGAAAAGTAATGTTTGTAGATTACACCATTTTTTATGGTAAAACTACAAAAAACGAAATAATTTTTACTGTAGCTGAACCTTTTTTTTACGCATAAAAATCAATAAAATAATTGATTTTTTATTCCTTAATAAAACGCTATGTAGAGTTGCTAGTAGCGTTTGTTGTATACAACGTAATGTATTTATCATATTATTTATGACTTAAGACCGATAATATTTTAGATTTGTTAGCAAGAGTTGTTTTCGCTTCGTGGGATTTAACAATTCTTATATACTGATACGCGGCGCTAGTGATAATCTCTGTTCGAATGCTCATTACGATGCACCCCTTTCTTCTTGTGGATTTAGACATTTGTAGTTAAAATGAATATTTTATTTGGGTTCTTCTTCTTCATCAGCCTATAAAATCACTACAATACACTTGGCAGGCGCATTGACGACCGCAACACTCCACGCTGATGCCTGTCGGCTGTCTGACTTAACGTAAAATACCCATACAGGCTACCGGACAAAAGATTTGACCGCCATCTTCAGGAAGCCATAAGATCATACTAACATTTTCCATATTCACCTCGAACCACAACCAAAGTACGAAATGGAGTTGTGTTCTCTTACGGTGACACCCCACAACAGTTGTGTCAACACGACAAAAAGTGTTATCAGAGTAATTTCATGACAAGTGACAGGATACTACTAATACTGTTAAAATGCTTTAATTCGAATAGTTATATTAAATTTCAATGATTAATTTACTTTTAACTAAAACGCAATTTAGTATTTTACAATGTAAATAGAATAAAAACATTTAGCTCAAATGAGTGAGGAGAGAAGAAACGCCACGGGCGTAAAGTTTACATTACACTACGTACAACAACAAAACAAGAGAGAACAACAAGAGTGGTATCTAATATTTTTTAAAATTTCGGCATTATAACTGTCTTCTAATACGTTTTTTTTTATTGCGGAATGACTTTGCACACACACGTGACAGCAGTAAATGACCACTATTAAACGACATATTTGGCAGGTAGAGAAATAAAAAATAAAAAATAGTCCATTATATCAGTATGCTCAACTGATAATATATTTATTTATTTAAGTACACCATTGATTGTTGCAACAATGCACACATCAACTTAGACACTATTTACTCAATCAATTAATGGTGTACACTGGATGATTCAAGTTACTAAAAATATAAATTAGTTCTAAATACATCTATTAATCTATATAAAACACAAAAATGTTTCTTCCTGTTATAGACTTGGAAACCATCTAACCGATGTGCTCTAAGCCGGTTTCTTTAGAAAGGCAATAATGCGACGATGGTTAGACCACTAAAATAATGCATCAGTCAGAAATAATCTTAATAAATTAATAAAATATAAAAACTTAGGATACAAAAAAATATTTTTTACGTGGTAGAGTCATGCTGCAGTTGTATTAGTAGCATAGTTATAGCACAAATTGGTCGGCTCGACCGGGGAAGGACCAGGCTCTCACAGAATACCAGCGTAAAATGGTAGCTTAATACTGCTGTGTTTCGTATGGTGAGTGTAGAGAACCGGAGCTCCTTTTTACTGGAAACAAGGCATTCCATTTTAGTTCATCTCAGTGGACAAAGCATCTGAATTTTGATTTGTAATCGAGGATAGATATATATGTCTATGGGTCGCAGCAACCACTTACCATCAAGTGAACTGTGTGCTAGTTTATCACCCTATCCTATAAAAAATACCCATAATGAGAGATGATGATGATAAAGATTAAACATACACAGAACGTACCGAACGTATGGGTATGCTATACAGTTAAACTATGCGTGCTACAGCCATAAATAAGCTGCAGAGTTAATTCATTCTTCGTGTGTTCATCACCAAGTCAAAGTCTACTGTTAAATATGAGCAGCGTGGCTCTTCCACGTCTAAACATATCTATGCATATAATGCACTCAGTTCTATGTAACATAACGTATAGGTAACGTGGTGGCGATATAAGATAATCCACAACTATCCCATATCATCCCGTGCGTGTCGTGAGACGATAGAAGAAATCTGGCAAAATCCGAATAGTAAAGTGATAAATGAAAATATTGACTTTTAACAAGTATTATGTGATAATCTATATTAAGTAGAAACTATTCATTTATAATCTACTCTAATACTTCCTTTGTGGTAATCTATGTTATGCATAAATTAATGAATATTGTAACTGTTCAAAATTCTGCGTGAAATTTTCTCTGACTTTTTTTTAAATATTTTTTATTCTTTTAATCATTATTAAAAAAAATAAAGGACAAACTCTCTACTACTCGTCTACTAGAAACTCATTTGTCTTACTACTGATATAGAAAGAGAAATACGCCTGCAAATAAGATTCTCGCTACGATGTCGCTTCTTAGTGTTATCATATTTAATTGTACAATATAAACACGTCTGTTGGCGACGCGCCTATAAAAATGTTTCAGTTTATTAAATCAACCGATGACGTTGCTATGAAAAAAGGGGTAGTCACGAGCAACGACGCTCTGATAAGAGAATGCTTAGTTAAATCTTTAAGAAATGTCGAATTAATGATATGAAGGTCTTGGGTTCGACTCCCAGGCCGGACTAGTTTGTTTGTTTTCCTAAGTAATATCGCTTAATAAATTCGTAAGGAATTTAAGATATAAATTATGTTACCGGATTTGTTCCCCGGTTGAAATCATCTTTCAAATGATGTAAATTCATAAGAATATTAAAGTGAAGTTAAAGATCGGATTTGTTCCCCGGTCGAGATAATCACTCTGTGCATAGGCAGAATTAATGGATATTAATTGCATAAATGTTGTTTTGTATAAGTTTGATACGTTTTGTACGAAAACAAATGCCTATTTGTTATGATTGATTAATGAGAACATTCATTTATATTGTTATCTGATTAAAGATAGTTTCATACAGTTCGAAAATTGTATAAAAGCATTTAATTTGCCTAATGTGGTCAAAATTGGTGTATTTCATAATTTAATTTTTTCTGATAGCCGAGAGCCGTGCAAAGTTAGTTGTTCACCTAGCGCGAGTACACGGAAGCACGCTGGCCACGCCCTTAGGAGGCCGAATATGTAAAAATTTAAAATGTTTGTAATTCAGTGATTTATGTAAAAATTACTTGTAAAATATTTCAGGTTAATTGTACGTGCTAAAAAAGGTAAATTCTGTGTTATTTTCATGTGAAAATTCCTGTGTATAAGTGAAATAATGATAGTTTTGTATAAGAAATTTAAAAGTGTTTTAAATAGTGAAATAAATAGAAAAAATGTAAATTAAACTATTGTATTGGTTAGCTTATGTATAAATTCAAGTGAGAAACATTGTTTTAACTTTCTGTGTTAAATATTTAAGAAATTTCGATTTCGAACTTGTGAGTAAAATAGGCAGTTTTCGTTTAATAAATAAAAGGTTTTTTATGATATGAAGATATGATGTATATCATGGTGTAGATATTGTTTTGTACTACCTATATTGATAAATTGTATTTGTATACGATTTGAATAAATAAAGATATTGAGTGAAACGTGAGAGAGTAATAGTACAAATTCATGTAATTAAGTTGCGCAAGCGCGCAGATGGCGCGGCTCACTTTCGCGTATAGCTCTGGGGTAGCTTAGTGAACGGGTTTTATTGCAATTCGTTCGGGAATCGTTCGGGGAAGTTCGGGAATCCTTCGGGGAAGTTCGGAAATAGTTCGGAAATAAATCCGGGAAAAGTTCAAGAAAAGTAAAAAAACCAGCAGTATAGGGAAAAGTGATTACTCTCTCACGGAACGGTTTGAAGATAATTGCTGTTTCATTCCCAAGATCCTTTAAGTTATACAGTCCACATCGAAGAATTAAGGCGTCGGGACCGGGACGACTTCGGAAGACCCGTAATCCCCGTCTGAACCTACTTGCTGAAAAGGAAGAGGTTATCGCCCTAGTGTGTTACTCCGTTGCGGAGATCACATACGTTGTTCCCGAACCCAACCTAGGCGTGATAGGAGGCCGGATCGAGAGAAGCCTCGATTCCTGTTTCTTAGTACCCGATCCGCTAGGTCCTTTTCAATTGGTCCTTTTCAGGATCAAGAGGGACACCGACCTGGTCCTTTTCAATTGGTCCTTCGCGGCCGATTGAGAGGACGTCCGACCTGAGTTCCTTTTCAATTGGACCTTCGGAGCCGGATTGAAGACCACCCGAACCCCGCCAGCTGGATCAAGGAACCAGCTGTGGACTGCTGGTTGTGGAAGAAGAAGACCTTCGGAAGCCGAGTGAAGATCAGCAACCGAAGGAAGCCAGAGGTTTGAGCTGAAGCAATAGGACCAAAGGCCTGAAGACCAGGACGGCAGCACTGAAGGGCTGGACCTGGAACTACCGGAAGAAAGAAAACCGGGATTGCAGCTTGGGGCGTGTGCTCGCATGGGGCACATATCGCAGCCGGGCGCAGGTGTCTTGTGAAGGCACTCATCGTGGCCAAGCAGGGCTTGGCATTTTTCCTGTCGGGCAAGCGTGCTCGGCATTTCCTGTCAGACGATCGTGTCTGGCATTTCCTGTCAGACGATCGTGTCTGGCATTTCCTGTCGGACGACCGTGTCCGGCATTTCCCGTCGGGTCATCAGGGTGCAAAAAGCATCCACCGCTACTGCTGCCGGGCGAGGGTGCGCGTGGGCACCTGACTGCATCGCGGCCGGAGGAGGGCGCTTGGACGAGGCGTCACCGGCAACTGGGCGGCGAGCACAGCATACATCCCGACCACCTAACGGTGCCAAACGGTTGGGCTCTGGCATAACACCTTCGGGTGGAGCAGTTCTCTCGAGCGAGACTGCGCTTGCACTACCGCTCGACTGTTTCGTCATATTCCTTGGCGGGACAGTTCCTAAACCTTTCCTCCATTCCATTCCTGCACGACTCCATCCCTGGACGGCTCACCTCGGTAGGCCCCGTTCAGGATTGATAGGGCTGATAGGGCTGTTAGGGTGGTAGTAGGGTTGTAGGGTTGGGAGATAAAGGGGGGAGGGGTAGTGGTGTTAGGTTGGGGTGTAGAAGGGGTTGTAGGGACCGTAGGGACAGTTAGGGACCGTAGGCCAACAATCACCTTCCTGCAAGATGAAGAAGGCACAAGACCAGACAGGGAGAAGCGAAGGGAGCAGGACAAGGACAGGGCTCTCAAGAAAAGCTAAAGAAGCGGAATCATCTGGAGCGACCACAGCTACTGCGTCAAATGGAGCAACTCCTCCAAGTGGAGCCACCACAGACACGTCCACATGCACGTGGGACTCAGGGACGTCCATAGCAACGACGAGCAACAGGACGGACACCAGTGGTACGCAGGCCAGCACCGCACAACAATCCGTTATATCCAGGAGTGAAACGGTGGTCGAAAAAGTAGGTCAAAGGACCGAAGAAGCGGCATCGTCAAGGACAGTAATCGGGCACACTAGTGATAAAGGGTCACAGAGAGGTAGTAGGTCATCGCGATCGGCGAGGCTGAAAGCCGAATTAGAGGCGCGGATTAAATTCGAACGCTCAGAGCTCGAACGAGCACAGGCAGCTGCTGCCTTAGCCAAGTCTCAATTGGAGTTGGCACGACTCAACCGAGAAGAGGAAATCGACTCGAGTGAGGATGATGAAGAGCGGAATACTCAGGTGGAACCTTTCGTAAGGAGTTGGGTTCAGCAAACCATAATGAGCGCGCCGGTTAGTGTAGCACAACCCGATATTACTGATAAGGAAGCGTGTAAAGGATCACGCCGCAAAGGGGCGGAGGTCGAGCGCAACCTAGGAAATGCACAGAAAACACACGCGAGTGAGGTGTCAGAATTGACCGAAGCGATTGTGAGTGCAATAAAAATAGCTGGTAAAGATAAATCTTCCCAGCTTCATTTCCTCCAGGAATTACCGGTGTTCGATGGAGACCCGGGTGAATGGATAATTTTCAAAACGGTGTTTGAAGACACAAAAGGCCAATTTTCAGGGGTGCAAAATGTCGCACGCCTTAGGAGGGCATTAAAGGGCACCGCTAAAGAGGCGGTTAAGTCGCTGTTATTTACTTTATGTGAACCTGAAGAAATAATGAACGCTCTCGAAAGAAGATTCGGTAGGGTTGAGATGCTCATTCTAGCCGAAATCGAGAATGTAAAGCGTATGCCAAGATTGGCAGAAGATTGCCGAAATATAGGATCTTTTGCAAGTCGTATTACGAACGTGGTTGCCACAATACAAGCGTTGAATCAACCACAGTATTTATACTCACCGGAGTTAGTGAGCCGCATAGTGGAGAAACTTGGAACTATGATTAAATTTAAATGGTTTGAATATCGAGCTCAATATCCTTTGGAGCCAGAGTTACAGAAGATGGCCAAGTTTTTAAATTTATTGAGTGAACAATTTGGAACGTCCTTAAGCAATGAAAATGCGCCTGAAAAAAGGAAGCGTCCTGAATTCAGGAAGCAAACTGTACACACTGCAAAGGGAAGGTGTACGCAGCTGTGCCGAGAGCGAGCGCTATACGCGCCGAAGTAATATGAGCGAGCGTTTAGAACGCCGAAATAATAAAAGGCACAACCGACAAGTGGTTATGATAACCCAGGACAAGCCTGTAAGTCGGGTAACACATAAGTGTGTTATATGCAACAAGGAGCACTCTATAGTGAGTTGTTACAAGTTTAAGGACATGAATATTCGCGAGAAATGGGAAGCCGTCAAAAAGGCCAAAGTATGTTTCCAATGTTTGTCACCTAACCATAGGAGGTTAGAGTGCAAAGCGAAAAAATGTGGTGTAGAAGGATGTAGAATGTCACATCATCGAATGCTACACCGATACCCCAATGAAAATACCTCGCCACAAGGGGACGAGGGGGGTAAAGATGCTCAGATTACAACTGTTAGTACAGTGAATGCACTGGCATGTGCATATTTAAAGATCATACCGGTCGAGTTGCATGGGCCTAGAGGAAAGGTCAGGACAACAGCTCTTCTGGATGAGGGATCGACCATGACACTCATAGAGGAGTGGATGGCTCAGAAGTTAGCGCCTCGCGGACGTAAAGAGGGATTACGTATCGAAGCCGTGGGAGGTAAGCGAATTAACGACGATAGTTCGTATCGCTTAAACGTTAAAATAAAAGGCATTTATTCGAGCGACTTAGAAGAGATAAGTGTACAAACAATTAAGTCACTTAACCTCGCTCCTCAGTCGGTAAGCCGAGAATTATTGCAACGGTGTTCTCATTTGACACCGATCAAGGATGAGTTGATGTATGAGAGGTCCAAGCCTACCATATTGATTGGTCAGGACAATTGGCATCTCATAGTTACTCGTGAATTGGTTTCGGGAGGTAAGAACCTACCTGTAGCATCGCTCACCAAACTGGGGTGGGTTTTGCATGGTCACATATCGGGTGGCATTAAACCAATCAAGATTGTTAACCACATTTCCACCAAGAAGGAGGAAGATATGGATAAATTAATCAAGGATTATTTTAGTTTGGAATCTCTGGGAGTATCGGCTAGAAAGCCCGTGAACGACCCAGAAGAACGAGCTTTAAATATTTTGAACAAAACGGTACGTCGTATACCTAATAATAGGTACGAGACTGCTTTGTTATGGCGCACAGACAATGAGTGCTTGCCATCGAATAGGGCACAGGTTGAAAGTCGCCTGTTTAATATTGAGAAAAAGCTCGACAAAAATAGCGAGTTGAAAAAAGGAATACGAGAAGCAAATTGAAAATCTCATCGTTAACGGTTACGCAGAGAAAGCGAACCATATTTCCATTTCCCCACGTACGTGGTACCTTCCCTCACTTCGCAGTGACTCACCCACAAAAGAAGAAAATAAGGATAGTTTTCGACGCCGCCGCAAGGACGGGCGGACGTTGTCTAAACGATGCGTTGTTGACCGGACCGGACTTATTGAAGTCGTTGTTCGGAGTTCTGCTACGATTCAGAGAAGGAAGCGTGGCAGTAATGGCAGACATTAAGGAAATGTTCCTGCAAGTGAAAATCCGGGAAGAAGACAGGGATAGCCTTCGATTCTTATGGCGGCACAATCGTGACGCGCCACCGGAAGAGTATAGAATGACGTCACTCATATTTGGAGCGGCATCATCACCATGCATCGCTATATATGTAAAGAATAGAAATGCGCAGGACAACGCACATATCTATCCAGAAGCAGCTTCCGCTACGGAAAGCAATTTTTATATGGATGATTACCTACAGGCATTTCCCGACGTGACGACGGCCGAAAGGATAGTAAACGATATGTATGAATTACATAAGCATGCTTCTTTCCAACTGAGGGGATGGGCTAGCAACCGACCCGAAGTTTTAAGTAATATGGAAAATAAATATAAGAGCGACAGTGCTTCGCTTGGAGATAAAGAGCACACAGAGCGCACGTTAGGTTTGATTTGGAATATCAAACGGGATATAATAAGTTTTTCCACAAGTCTTCGTAGCACACCGGAAGAGGTGATGGAGGGTTTACGACCGCCTACGAAGAGGGAGATAACTAGCGCTGTGATGTCAGTCTTCGATCCTTTGGGACTCGCATCACCCATAACGATTCAAGGGAAGTCGCTGATCCAGCAAGTATGGAGGACAGGCATCTCTTGGGATGAAGAAGTTTCACACGAGTTACACGTGTTATTTTGTAAATGGATATCGGAAGTGAAGAAATTAGGTCACTTAGAAGTACCTAGACCCGTTGCTGAAGGCATCGGCAAAGGAGAGTTACATACTTTCACGGATGCTAGTGAAAAAGCATACGCTGCCGCGGTGTATTACGTCACCACGGACGAGCAAGGAATAAGGCGGATTACGCTGATCGCCGCAAAGGCAAGAGTAGCGCCATTGAAACCAATTTCGATTCCAAGGCTTGAATTGCAAGCAGCTCTTATGGGCAGCAGACTGGCTGCTTCGGTTAGTGAAGAGAGCAAGTACGAGATGTCCGAGAGAGTGTTTTGGACAGACTCACGTACAGTGTTAGCGTGGATTAAGTCGGATCCTCGCGCTTTTAAACCATTCGTTGCTCATCGATTGGCTGAGATCGAAGATCACAGTAAGCCATGTGAATGGCGATGGGTTCCAACGTCACAAAACGTGGCAGACGACGCCACTAGAAATTTTCCTTCCACCTTCGATGTAAGTCATCGCTGGTTTCAAGGACCTGAATTCCTCAGGAAAAGTCCTGATTTATGGCCCAAACAAGTGGACACCATAAATAGCTTAGAAACAGGTGAAGAAAAATCGCCAAAAGGCGTAAATGCGCTAAGAAAGCAAGAACCGTTAAGTCTACCCGACTACGGACGATTTAGCAGCTTTAAGAAATTCCTTGGGGCAACTACACGCACCTTACTAGCGGTAGAAAAGTTCAAGAGTTTAAGAAAGTCGGTTAAAGGACCCGAAAGCGCAGCCGAAAAGTCGGTTATGTGTTCCAACAAAGTTTTAGCAAAGTCGGTTAAAGGACCCGATGGCGCGTTGGACATAGCGCTCTTGAAAAAAGCGGAATTGTTAATTTGGAAGTTCATTCAAGACGAGTGTTTTTATTCGGAAATAAAATGCTTGAAAGCAAGCAAAAGCGTTGAAAAAAGTTCACGCTTAAGTAAATTATCTATGGAAATAGGAGAAGATAACTTACTCCGTTTGAATGGACGTTTACCTTTCAAGTCTAATTTGACCGAGGAAAGTAGAAAACCTGTCATATTAGACGGTAAACACGAAATCGTTAAAATGATGATTAGAGAAGTTCATCATCATTTTGGACACGCCAATCACCAGACGGTGATGAATGAGGTGAACCAGAAATTTTACGTCTTGAACTTGCGTAATGTAGTACGAAGTGTGTCACACCATTGTCAGTGGTGCAGGACATACAGGTCAAAGCCGCAAAACGTGCCACAAGGAAATATTCCTCTGGAAACAATAGCTCATCATGAGCCACCTTTTACATGCTCAGCTGTAGATTATTTTGGTCCTATGAGTGTGACTATAGGAAGGCGACACGAAAAACGTTGGGGCGTTTTATTCACGTGTCTGACCACCAGAGCAGTACATCTGGAATTAGCAGCCTCATTGACACCAGCGTCAATGATAATGGCGTTAAGGCGATTTATCGCCAGAAGAGGAAAACCAGCCGTTATATACAGCGATAACGGGACAAATTTCAAAGCTGCGAATAAAGAATTATTGAAAACATGCGAAGAATGCCATGAGGGCATGAAAAACGAGTCATTTAAGAAATATATTAAACGGAAATTTATACCTCCGGGAGCACCGCACATGGGTGGCGCCTGGGAGAGGTTAGTAAGATCGATTAAAATTGCGTTGACCGCTACGCTTAAGGAGAAGAGCCCACGAGAGGAGGTTCTACATACGTTACTTTTAGAAGCAGAGCATACGGTAAATTCCAGACCTCTGGTAACATTCAGTATGGATAGTCCTGAAGAGGGTTTGACACCCAATCATTTTCTTCTGGGACGCTCATGTGGTGATCGACCACCTGGATTATTTTTAGAGCGACATCTGACGGGTCAACTCAATTGGAAAGCTGCACAGAGGTTAGCCGACCATTTTTGGACAAGATGGCTGAAAGAATACATGCCTACGTTAATACCTCGAACAGGTGATAACGGCAAGTTCATGGAACCTAAAGAAGGCGATATTGTTTTGATAATAGATCATTCGTTGCCACGAAACACGTGGCCAAAAAGGTAAAATTAGTGGAACGTTACCGGGACCAGACGGTCACACCAGAGTGGTTGACGTCATTACTAGCACAGGTATCTTGAGGAGACCTACATCCAGAATAATAGTCCTGGTACCCGCGACGCCTCCCAAATGATGGTGCTAACGCACGGGGGGGAGATTGTTGGCGACGCGCCTATAAAAATGTTTCAGTTTATTAAATCAACCGATGACGTTGCTATGAAAAAAGGGGTAGTCACGAGCAACGACGCTCTGATAAGAGAATGCTTAGTTAAATCTTTAAGAAATGTCGAATTAATGATATGAAGGTCTTGGGTTCGACTCCCAGGCCGGACTAGTTTGTTTGTTTTCCTAAGTAATATCGCTTAATAAATTCGTAAGGAATTTAAGATATAAATTATGTTACCGGATTTGTTCCCCGGTTGAAATCATCTTTCAAATGATGTAAATTCATAAGAATATTAAAGTGAAGTTAAAGATCGGATTTGTTCCCCGGTCGAGATAATCACTCTGTGCATAGGCAGAATTAATGGATATTAATTGCATAAATGTTGTTTTGTATAAGTTTGATACGTTTTGTACGAAAACAAATGCCTATTTGTTATGATTGATTAATAAGAACATTCATTTATATTGTTATCTGATTAAAGATAGTTTCATACAGTTCGAAAATTGTATAAAAGCATTTAATTTGCCTAATGTGGTCAAAATTGGTGTATTTCATAATTTAATTTTTTCTGATAGCCGAGAGCCGTGCAAAGTTAGTTGTTCACCTAGCGCGAGTACACGGAAGCACGCTGGCCACGCCCTTAGGAGGCCGAATATGTAAAAATTTAAAATGTTTGTAATTCAGTGATTTATGTAAAAATTACTTGTAAAATATTTCAAGTTAATTGTACGTGCTAAAAAGGTAAATTCTGTGTTATTTTCATGTGAAAATTCCTGTGTATAAGTGAAATAATGATAGTTTTGTATAAGAAATTTAAAAGTGTTTTAAATAGTGAAATAAATAGAAAAAATGTAAATTAAACTATTGTATTGGTTAGCTTATGTATAAATTCAAGTGAGAAACATTGTTTTAACTTTCTGTGTTAAATATTTAAGAAATTTCGATTTCGAACTTGTGAGTAAAATAGGCAGTTTTCGTTTAATAAATAAAAGGTTTTTTATGATATGAAGATATGATGTATATCATGGTGTAGATATTGTTTTGTACTACCTATATTGATAAATTGTATTTGTATACGATTTGAATAAATAAAGATATTGAGTGAAACGTGAGAGAGTAATAGTACAAATTCATGTAATTAAGTTGCGCAAGCGCGCAGATGGCGCGGCTCACTTTCGCGTATAGCTCTGGGGTAGCTTAGTGAACGGGTTTTATTGCAATTCGTTCGGGAATCGTTCGGGGAAGTTCGGGAATCCTTCGGGAAAGTTCGGAAATAGTTCGGAAATAAATCCGGGAAAAGTTCAAGAAAAGTAAAAAACCAGCAGTATAGGGAAAAGTGATTACTCTCTCACGGAACGGTTTGAAGATAATTGCTGTTTCATTCCCAAGATCCTTTAAGTTATACAGTCCACATCGAAGAATTAAGGCGTCGGGACCGGGACGACTTCGGAAGACCCGTAATCCCCGTCTGAACCTACTTGCTGAAAAGGAAGAGGTTATCGCCCTAGTGTGTTACTCCGTTGCGGAGATCACATACGTTGTTCCCGAACCCAACCTAGGCGTGATAGGAGGCCGGATCGAGAGAAGCCTCGATTCCTGTTTCTTAGTACCCGATCCGCTAGGTCCTTTTCAATTGGTCCTTTTCAGGATCAAGAGGGACACCGACCTGGTCCTTTTCAACGTCCTTCTGAGTTTCTTGTCTTACAGAGACTCTTACAGAGACTCTTTCAGAACTCATGGTTAAAGCATTAACGACTATTAGTATGAATTCTTGTAACCTATTTTTATAAGTATTATAAGTATTTTTATTTATATAAGTACCTACTTTATTTATTTATACATTTTGTTCATTTATATTTTTATTTATATTTTAAAATGTTGACCTTCCATATAAAATAAACATTTTTATCAGTTACGAAATATACCTATTTTATAATAGTACCTGGATGACCGAGCTTTGCTTTAATTAAAATTTTAATATTTTTAAAAAATACTAAAGAAAAGAGCTCGGAATAATAGATTTTCTCACAAAAAAGGAACTTGCAAAAAAAAGGAAAAAGTCGGAACGAAGACAGGACGCGAACCAAGGCATTACGATTTCGCGACCGCTCGATATCCACTTGAGCTATTACGATCATTAACACAGTGTCAAAATTTATCTTCTTATATTGTAGCAGTTTTTCATTGCCTGAAAACAAGGACAAAAAGACATTTTCCAAAAGCCTAATCCAAATCTAAAACCTAGATAGATCGATTTATTGCCCCCCGAAATTCCATGGACACAAAATTTTATGAAAATAGTTGGAGCCGTTTCCGAGATTCCGATAGCATCTTAATCAATAAAAATCTGCGGTTGTCAATCCGCTTGCCACCGAGGCAATTACAGCGATTATCCTCCACATACAGGAGGCAAGGTATGGTGGAAGCTAATGTTTAGTGTGGACTTTTAATAGGTTGTTATACCGTGGTAGCTTAGATGGCTAGAGCTCGCTGTAAATTTCACAGTACGAGAGCAAACCGGGTGCGATCCCCGCCGGCACCAATGAAATTGTTAATTGCAATTTTAAGTGCTGATTTACCACGTGCTCAGCGGTGAAGGAAAACATCGTAAGGAAACCTGCATGTCTGAGAAATAAGAAAAAAAACTATTTCGAAGACATGTACGCATCGGGGCAGCGCGGCGGACAATTTCTGTCCCTAAAACACTCTCAGAAATGTGCGGAGGCAGAAGTGGGACGTGTATATATAGGCTGTAACTTTAACTAACTTTTTAATAGGTTGTAATATTAACGGTAACCGACGAGCATGTTTGCGTAAATAGATGCGAAGAAACCGCGTGTCGTGACAACCCATCGAGATGACAGGCGTGAGAGCCAGTATACAGATGTTGTAAGACAACCATCTTAGTACTCAGAGGTGACAATACATCTGTAGGCTTCTTTATCTGAAGGCGGCTGCAGAGGCCAATGGACTGCAGTATGCGCTTACCATCAGGTAGACTGTAATTTCGTTAATCACTTCAGTTTTATAAAACAACCTTTTGTGCAAAGTAAATAAATATTCAATAAGGTTTAGTCCATACGTTCGAAAACATTGGCAACCCTGTTTATATTTAGACGTTGAATATCATTCAAATATCCACGAAAAGCTGAAAGCTGTCTCAGACTAGATATAAATGAATATGGTCACGGGGGGACCATGGTTGCTGTAAAGCACCCGAAACATCGGGAATTAAAAATAAGTAAAATCAGTTAAATAAACGCGATAGAATCCGTAAATTTAGTTTTATTCAATGTGTAGTGTTCGCGTAAATTTAAGAAATCATTATGTATCGCCTCTTACGCTCGCAGAACGATACGTCAATAGACAATCAATTATGAGGCGTCCTGTGAAGAGATGCAGGTAGTCGATTGATGAATGTGGCTCAGGACTGTGCTTGGTGGCTTTCTTTCGGGACTATATTCAGCAATAAACTTGTGATGGGCTATGATGATGATGATAATGACAATGCATTTGTTTGCATTAGTAAATGATGCGTAACAAATCATATGATTGGATTTATTTTTAACTAAATATTATGTACATCCAACACTTTTTTTACAGCACAGTGTATCAGTTATCAACTTATATTTTTTATTCAGTTAGCAACTTACATGTTTTTCATTACTCAGACTCGACGACTTCCAGCCTCCCGAACAAGCCAAGGGTTTCCGAAAAGGCTTCAGTACCATAGACCACATACATACCCTGCGGCAGATTGAACAGAAGACCGAAGAGTACAATCTGCCACTTTGCCTGGCATTTGTGGACTATGAGAAAGCCTTTGATTCCGTCGAAATTTGGGCGGTGCAACAGTCCCTTCAGCGGTGCCAAGTTGACTGTCGGTATATCGAAATGCTGAAGTGTTTGTACAGTAGGGCTACGATGGCTATCCGAGTACAAAAACGGAGTTCGAAACCTATCCAACTGCAGAGAGGTGTAAGACAGGGTGATGTTATATCCCCGAAACTCTTCACCGCTGCGTTGGAAGACGTTTTCAAGCTACTGGACTGGAAAGGATACGGTATTAACATCAATGGTGAGTACATCACTCACCTTCGATTTGCCGACCTTCGAATCGCTGGAGGACCTTAGCACTATGATCAATGACCTCAATGGTGTCTCCCAACGTATAGCCTGCTCAGGACGGGATTATAGTTAGAGTATATGCGCGAGCGCAAGTGCACTCTCTATTCCCTCACTCTCGTAGTCCGATAGGGCGGAAAGAGAAAAGCCGCAAGATCATCGGTACGGGGATGTAATACCACCAGGTTCCTGACTCCGGGCAGCTACTAAAAATTCCTTGACAGTTAACTCAATAACTGATAATTTTGATTCCACCCGGGATTAGAATCGGGGAGTGGTCATAACCAGTACTCGCGCTTGCAACCACTAGACAAATGAGGCAGAAAAAATATAGTACAAAATTAATAACACCGATCATTTAAATATTTTAAATTTAAACAGTATTATTTGAAAACATCTAATAAAGAAATCGTATTCGTTATATTTCTCATATGTTACTCAGTGATGTCCTTTGCGGACAGATGAAAAAGCCACAACCCAAGCGTGTTGATCGGCAAATTTAATCTCATAAGCCTCCAATAATAATTCCATCAATTCTGTTATCTGACGAGGCACTTTGGTGACCTTGAAGTAACCTTACTAACTCCAAAACATAATAGACTGATTACAATTAGTGATTAAAATTATAATATTATAATAATGATTATAATAATTTAAATAAAATTGGTAGAATATGCCGGCTGAAAAATGAATATTTATCCAGTCATTCGTTTGG